TCGGGTGACATGGGTAGACTATACCTGATGGTGGGAGTGAGTGGTGGTGGTGGTGATGGGAGACAATGGTGTCGGGTGACATAGGTAGACAACACCTGATGGTGGGAGTGAGTGGTGGTGGTGGTGGTGGTGGCGGGAGACAATGGCTGTCTCTTATACACATCTAGATGTGTATAAGAGACAGGGTGGTGGTGATGAGGGTGGTGGTGGTGGTGGTGGAGAGGGTGGTGTTAGGTGGTGGTGGTGGTGTTGTGGTGGTGGTGGTGATGGTGAGGTGGTGGTGTGTGAAACTGCAGGAGGATGAGGAACAAAATAAATTTATTGTGGGACGAGACAAAATTTGTGGGGAGATGCTTCTAACCCTGGAGAGACTTATTAATGTGACAGAAATGTACGGTTGAATTGGTGAACAATTTTATCAAAAAGAAAAATTCAGAATAAGTACAGGAACTATATACAGATGTAGAATAACTCAAAATCACCGTAAACAAGACATGCGGTGTTTTAGTCACCTTATGCAGAATTATATTTATATATTTGCATTAATTATATTTGTTACAGCTTCTGCATGAAATAACAAAGAAATTAACGAGTCTCATAATCTTGAAGCAGGCATCATTTTATAATCATGAAAACTGAACGAAGCTCAAGCAGAAAAGCAAAACAATAATGAACAAAATAATACGTTATACTGTCTCGACGCATGTCGCATACGAGCTGCGAATAACCGACGTGGCAATTGAACTTCAATACAAAATTGTTCAGTTCATACTTATAGCTACACTGTAAGCTAATGTGAAGGTACGAGCATAATTGATCGTGATGAAGACTTGAACATTATCACCATCATAAACAGCAATGTTATAACCTCGTCTTGTGCCGTGGTGTTAAATTAATCTCTTAGTTAATGAGATTATTTGTTTATTTCGTATAGTTATTGTCCAGTCGTCTTATAGATAAATATGTGGCGCACTGCAATAGGTGAGCAGAAGCAGTTTAACTCAGTCGTTTCAAAAACTTCTGGCGAATCTGGATATTTTGTTCGTATATATGCGTGAAGTTTGATCAGAGTTTCATGCATGCATATTGAGTTGTTCTGTTGAGCCGAAGCCTTCGGAATTTCATGCTAATTTTTGCCATCAGACTCCTGGCTCACTTATTAGCATAGAAAAATTCGTCGAGATTCATTTAAATTGATTGGTAGTCAATGACAACACATCAACCAATATTCAATAAATTTTGGACTGTGTCTTTTTCACAAATTTCGCTTATATTTTAGCAAGATTTCCCTATTAAGATGATTGAGAACTATTCTTTTAATTCTTTTTCTTTTTATTTTATTCTATTCTATTTTATTATATCTCTATTTTATTCTTTTTCTTTTTATTTTATTCTATTATTCTTTTATGAAGGTTACATCAGCTTAGCTGCATGATTCGTGCGAATATTATACATGGAAGGAAGTTTATCGCAACGACGCCTGCAACAGTTGTGTTGGGGAAACTACGTTACAACTACGTCATCGTGGCCATAACATCGATTAATATCATTAACACGGTGCCTGCTATAATTAATCTTTGATAGTTAATCACATATAATTGTATCATGGTTACCTTCCCGTTACTATCTTGACCTACAATTTTTTTAATACGGATCGTAATTAATATGATCATAAAAACATCTTGATGCTACGAAAAATTCATCAAACAATCATCTCGATCGAACGAAAAATATGACCAAAACATCAAATTAACAACTTGATCGAGGGAAAAAATATGACAGAAGAAAAGAGAACGAAACGTTGCCTAATATGAGGGTTGTCAGGGCGGCATTAGAAGCAGACACGGAGCGCACAATAGACGGGGGGGAGAGCTGGAAAAACTCAGCTAAATTGAACAAAACCCAGGGTTTCACCTGAAAACATGAATGAAAAGGACGCGCTTCACAAAGAGACTTTGAAGTTAGTTATAAGGGGNCTGTCTCTTATACACATCTAGATGTGTATAAGAGACAGGAAAACGGCAGTGCAATAAAATAAAACCAAAAATAAAACTGCAGTTTAGCAGTTAAGGTTACAAGTAAAAAACTTCTACCTTAACTGCTAAACTACAGTTGTATTTTATTGTACTGCCGTTTTTCGATCACCAGATCAACAAAATCCGTTGTGAAGCACAGTATCTCTGGTACCGTGGAGAGTTAAAAAATATAACTCAGTACTCATGCACTGCAGTGAGTGACAGAGGGCGCATTTTCTCGTCGACGAAAACGTGCAGTCACGGACGGACGGACGGACATGGCGAGCACAATAGTGCATTTTTTCCATAAATGAGAAAATGCGCTAAAAATGGCAGTTCCAGAACAACTCTAGTAACAAAAATAAACAGAAAAAGCAACGAACGTGACCGAAATTATTGGCTGTGGCGTTGGTCTCGAGGGCCGCCACATAAGCGGGAGGGTCGGAGTATCAGATGAAGAAAGAGAGCAATAAGTGGAGGACTCGAGTGTGTTATGGTGCGTCCTTTGTTGGCAACACAAAAGACGATGTGTCACTGTAGTCATGTGAGCTTACAGCTCTGAGATGTTGCTGCAAAGTCAGATAACAACTCTGAAATGTTGCTGTAAAGTGAGCAAACAGCTCTGAAATGTTGCAGAAAAGTGATGTTACAGCGCGGATGTTGCTGCAAAGTGAGATAACAGCTCTGAAATGTTGCTGCAAAGTGAGCAAACAGCTCTGAAATGTTGCAGAAAAATGATGTTACAGCGCTGAGATGTTGCTGCAAAGTGAGATAACAGCTCTGAAATGTCGCAGAAAAGTGATGTTACAGCGCTAAGATGTTGCTGCAAAGTGATGTTACAGCGCTGAGATGTTGCTGTAAAGTGAGCTAATAGCTCTGAAATGTTTCAGAAAAGTGATGTTACAGCGCTGAGATGTTGCTGCAAAGGGTGACCTGCCTAGCGACGACTCGGAGACGGAGGACGACGAAGGCGGCGCATCAGCTTGACCGTGGACTACGAAGTCCTAAACTCATCATAAGGTCATAAGGTGATGTTACAGCCTCAGTGTTGATATCATGGATGGAATTATATCCAGGATGGAACAATAGAATGAATTTATAATAAATATTAATAAATGATATATAAATAAAAATTTTCATGGATAGAGTAATATCAAAGGCAGAACAATATGAAGATTAGGTGCAAGATCAAGATGAACGTTCATCGAGAAAAAAAAAAACAGAAAAAATTGGAAGACAGAGCAATTTCACGAATAGAGCAATATTCTGCATGGCAAGTGTGGTACCGGTATCAGGAACACTCGGTGACATTGTAGATTTAGAGAATTAGAAAACAATTCAACCGTGTTTGGGGACATTAAATAAGGTGCATATGAGCTGAAAAAATTCCCTTCATTTACAAACAAAGCTTCGTCAAATCAAAGTCAAAATCTTTTCTCCTGCAAGTAGATTTAATCATCCTATTGCTAACAAACACAACAAACACATAATGCATAAAACAGGATTATGCGCTGTTAGAAAAAAACGGTGAAAAAACGGTCCCACTGGCGTTCTAATGGCCGGTCGCCCCGTGAAAATAAACAGTTTCGCCGTTTTTATCAGATGTTTTACCGATTTCTAATGTTAAATTAGAATAAAAACGGCGACACGGTGTTTCTTTTCACGTGCCGACCGGCCACTGAAACGCCGGTAATACCGTTAACGGTAATTTTTCTAACAGTGTACATGTGCGCGCGGCGAAGTCTCGATACGGCCATGAAACGTACTTCGTTTACGAAGAGCAAGACTTACCGTAGAACACTGAGCCTGTCCGCACATTCGCCGACTTAGAAACAAAACAAAAAACACGAACAACTTAACATACAGACACACTCTTGCAACACTCAACAGTGACTGAGGAGGAAGCGGGGAAAAATTGCGTTTGGTAATACAAGATTCGTTAACGCTTTAATAAATAAACGAAGAAAGAATTAAGGCGCACTTATTTGGCGGTACGTGTTTTTAATTCTAGTTTTGCATGGCCCACGGAAGCCGGCAATAAATATACTTTAGAAATCAATTTTAAATGTCTATTGTTTCTCAATTCAACGATTCTCAGTTCGAAAAGAAAAATAATAATGATTGGAGAATTTCAATTTCATTTCAGTATTACGAAAACTGACACATATTTCTACGAGACTAGTGTTAGACAATATATTGAATTGACAGAAGAGAATATTTTATTTGAAATCATTCGAGCTATCATTACGTTATAGTTGCTGGAAACAGACGGAGAATCCTAAATTGAATACATCGGTAATATGTAGAGATCTTTCAGCGGCTGGGAGCTTGTATGAGCTAAGTTTGGTGTGGTTCCTGCCTTCACTTCTTTATAGGATGTGGCCCGTATTGAGGAAGCGAAGCAAGCTTTGAGACAAATGTTCAGAAGTTGACCGATTTTTTCACGGTACAATATAGAAATGAGAATTACTGAATTGATGAATAATGTTTTTTTTAGTATTGATATAATTCAAATTAGAGATTTCAGGTCAGACAGTGCAACGACAAACATTTAACGGGAAGTAAAGAGGATCTTGTAGCAAGGTAAGTTGTTTCACACTGATGCTGATATTTGGGACTCATGAACTGCGATAATCTGAACTGAGATATGAGCCTAACCGACACACAAAAAAATATAAAAAATGTAACTCAGTACTCACTGCAGTGAGTGACAGCAGAGCGCATTTTTTCGTCGACGAAAACTTGAGGTCGCGGACAGACGGACGGACAGACGGACAGACAGACAGACAGACATGGCGAGCACAATAGTGCATTTTTCCATAAATGAGAAAATGCGCTAAAAATGGTAGTTTTCATTTGCGACCCACGAGGGCAGGACGTACAGCAATAAAGGCACACAAAAGAAACACCAATAAAGAAGGTAAGAGAACAGCAAAAGGAGTAGAAGAACACCGAAAAAAAACACACAGCATCACTCACTCTTACCAAAAGACGAGGGGTTCACTGGCGTCAAGGAAATATAGGAGGTCTGGCCTCCTTCCCCTGTTACGTGAGCGTGTAAAGTAAGGCAGGTCACAGGGAGTACAGGGAGAGCATTTTATTCATGTATTCATTTGGACAACATTAAGTTCCTTTTACATGAAATATTAACTAGGGAAGACAAGCACGAAGGAAGCTCGCATTCGCACAAATTCAGATCACTGACTTCAACATGGAGAAAAATCCACGAGAAACCAAAATGATACTAAAGCCTTGAGTAAAACATCGGCAATTTGCATCGTTATTGAAATGGCACTGAATTTGCGTAATGAGTTGGACGTCACCGCATTAATAAGTATTAATTATTGCGATCGCCCAAACAACTATTGCAAAACTATCAGCGTACTGACGCCTGTAGCCTGTATAACCAGCGGTCCGCGCGAGGTACGCCGGTAATTTTTTTCAGTATAGGTCTTTGAAATGTGCAGTACAAAAAATACCCTTGAATATGATGAAGTAAAATCCAATCCTTGAAGCTATAATTGGAATAAAAATCGCCCACCATCGCTGGGTTCTTTCGTGTGCACGCATTCATGCACAGGAACAGCGAATAAAAGAGTAGCCGAGAGCTTATAATGGATTCTTGAGGCACGTGTGATAAAGAGGTGGCAGCTTTTGCGACAAGTCTTCAGAGTCGTCATGACACCTTCCTTCACTTGATGAGAGTTAATGAGGTACGGCGATCATCTCAAGCTAATGAGGCGATCACAGCAACTTATTAGGAGCGGCTAATCTCGAATTAGTACAGCTTCATTGCAGGAAACAACAGCGAACAAGATCGGTGCAATAACAAACCCTGATAAAGTTCCGAATTCCGTGCAAAATAGACGTACATTGTACGAGATCAAACGAAATATGACAGTTCAAGTCTGATATTCTTTTGACTGGAATCAAGTAAGTCGGCCGTTGTTGTGCAGCTTGAGAAGAATAACGTATACTGACGGTAAAAACAAAATTTTATCGAAGCATCGGAGGAGACGCATCAGAAGCAAACGGAAAGCTGATATATCTGCAGCAAAAACCTGATATATCTTAGACAAAATAAAGGTAACACCTGAGAAATCCACAATATATATTATAGTATGGTGTAGGTCCACATTTTGCGGCAATTACAGTCGCAATTCCCCGAGTTATTGATTCATACAAATTATAAATTGTTTCCAAAGGAATTTTAGCCCATACCTCAGTTAAAACTCCCTCAAGCTCTTTTTAAGACGACGGCGGCATGAATCGACTTCTGACTCTAAAATCAACCAAAAATGCTCGATAATATTCAGGTCTGGTGATTGTCGTGGCCAAACGAGCTGCTCAACGTCATTAGAATGTTCCTCGTGCCATGTCTCAACAATTCCACCTGTATGGATTGAGGGATTATCATCTTGAAATATGGCGTTCCTCTCCGGATACAGAGCTTGAACCATTGGATGAACTTGGAACTCCAAAATTCCTTAATAGTCGCGGCTGTTGATTCTTCCATGAAGAGAAATCATTGGCCCGCTGGATATCGAAGAAATAGCACCCAAGATCATCACAGATATCCCGCCTTGTTTTACGGTTGGGAGGAGGCAGTACGTCGGGATTAGGTCACTCTTTTGGCGTAAACTCGGCATCCAAACGAAAACTCGGCCAGAGGTTGAACATAAGGTAAACGATGATTCGTCAGAGAAAATCTCATTTTTCCACTGCTCGAGGGACCAATTCTTGAGGTTTTTATACCACTCTAAACGCTTTGAAACATTTGTATTTGAAAACCGAGGTTTTCTAATTGCAGCTCTTCCATAGAATCCAGATCAGTGCAGCTTTCGGCGGACCAAAAATCCTGATCAGGAAACTGAGTTCTGTATATGTCCAATCTAAATTGAGGTCTGCAGTAATTTTAACAGCCGTGGTCTTTCTATTGTCCCTCGCAATTCTATTTTGGTACCGCCGGTATCTCTCGGACAACTTCGACTTTCGGCCAGAACTGTGCTTTGCAGAGGACGTTTTTCCATCTCTTTCATAAGCAGTCATTACTTTTGAGACAGTACCTCTAGAAACTTATAGAGCATTCGATCGGGAAGTTTCTGTCACACTAGCGCCTGCCATGCGGGCACCATTTGGCCTCTTTGAAAGTCAGAGAGGTTTGGAATTTATAGATTATATGTTAATATAAAAATATGTTATAGATAAAAAAATTTACTAAAAATATCTCTACTGAAGATGGAACATAGCGGCATTTTTTTTAGCGAGAGTAGAAGCAGAAGTGTGAAAATTAACAGAACAATTAAATACAGTGGGAAAACCTCGTCAAAGGAAGAATTGTTCTGATAAATCAAATAGATCATGCATCCACCGTCACATCTGATGGACAATAATGGTTTTGGTCAAATAATTAGAAAAAATCGCTGCGTTAGCATTTATCAATGAGCGTAAATGGCATTCAGGGCTTACAGGTCAAATTCTACGTCTATCAGATGTTCAAAACCAAAAATTACTTTAAAAGGGAGATTGAGCAAAAACTTGAGCAGTAAAGGCCTAGAATCTACATAAGGCACAAAGTCAGTCAAGCTTTGCTGAAGTGGACAAATAATTTTACGAAAGGGTATTATTATAATGGTAGAAAAAATACATGCAGGAAAGCGTATGCAAGCTTTGCCAAATTTCAACTTCAACAAGACGAAAGAAATCCCATGATTTTGTGTGAAAGTAGAACTAGTGAAAGTTAGTGAAATAATCAAAGTAAACTAGATAGTTTTAATTTTTAATAGTTTGCATTTTATTTAGTTAAACCAAGATCTTATTGGCATATGGAACTAAGTGATCAATCAAATTCGTCAATCGCCGGAGGTTGCGTGTAAAGGCACACTACCCTCGCGACTATACAATGTACGGGGTGCTTCACGGAAACTTCTTGATTTGAAAGCTCAATAAAAAAATAGATAGTTAAGGTATCATTACAATTTGAATTTTATTGAAAAAGACATTGCCTGAATTTTTGGACAACTTAGTTTTAAAGATGACATGGAACAAATGACGACCCCCATTGTCAAAGCATTTAGTTGATTTTTTTTTCAAGTTCTGTTCAACTCGCTGGAGCATTTTGACGGGTATGTTGGCGATGGCTTGGCTTATGTTGTTCTTCAAATGACAATCCATTTCCGATCAGGAACGAACATCCAGTCCAAACAATCCATTTCTGATCGGGAACCCCAACCCGAAGGACGAATATAAAACCGAGTATGAAATGCTCGTTGACTATCGATAATGAAACGGCTATTAGAAAAGTACGCCTCGACAGCAAACGCACTCTGCTCACTTGTCCAATGCGTAGTTAGTGATAACTGACTAGGCGGGACACAAAACTTCATGACCTCTCCTTTCATATGAAATACTCCCCGCTCTTTCCCTACAACCCTTCCCTTCCCCGCTCTTTCCCTGCTCAGTGCGAAATACAAAACAGGAAGTTTCCGTGAATCACCCTGTACATGGAGGCACCACCGGCCCAGGAACTTGTCACAGGTCGTGCGCTTGTCAAGTTCTATACGGGACAAACCTGCCAAGTTTGAGGGACAAACTTGCTAAGTTCGAAGGGCGAACTTGCTAAGTTCTGGTCGTGCGCTTGTCAAGTTCTATAAAGGGACAAACCTGCCAAGTTTGAGGGACAAACTTGCTAAGTTCGAAGGGCGAACTTGCTAAGTTCAAGAGACGAACTCGTAAGTTTTTATTAGTGAAGAAATTCGATCAAGTCTCACCAGTGACGGTGATGACGTGAGGCTCACTGCTGAAGGGAGAAGTCTTGAGGAAGCTGGCAGGTGAGGCGTGCCCCACGCCACTGCTGGCTATCACCTGAGTGGGAAGAACCAAACCCTTAGTATATAGTGAGCAGTACTATCAAAGCTTATTATTTACCAAAGCTTATTAATAGTACATAGTGAGTAAATATTGTAGTCATACTGTACTAATATTGTACTCAGTACATAGTATATAGTGAGTAGTACTATCAAAGCTTAGTGGTTACCAAGCTTAGTAGTAGTTATCAAAGCTTATTAGTAGTAGTTACCAAGCTTATCAGTAGTAGTTACAAAAGCTTATTAGTAGTTACCAAAGCATAGTACACTAATAAGAAAGTAATCTTAACATTGCTACTGACTAATAATTATTGTTAAAACACATGGTGATAACATCTTCGATAGCGTGACAATGCATAAATTAACGACAAATAACGCTTCAGAAAATCAATCACAGTGTAGCATAGGTTAGATAGATCAAAAATTATACACACCAGGCAATTGAATATTTCAGTTTTTGATATCGGTCCTTTGTCTTTGAGTGTCTTAGTCTGCGTCCCATATTAAATTCAATTACAATGTGGCTTCTGAAACCATAGCCCGGCAGCTAGAGTAAGCCATTAATCATTAATCACAGTCAAAATGTTAACCTTAAGTTCAAAATCATTCGAATATTCAGTTCACAGCGCATCGAGTAAATTACTCGTCTGGTTTCAATTGGGCCGATAAGGCGGCTTGACATACTCTTACCCAGCAGGCCCTGACAGCTCGCTATCACCCGTAACAACAAAACCCAGTGAGAAATATTGCAACGATGACACACACACACATATACAATTAATCGACAATAATTGTTTAGCTTCTTTCGGTGCAGTGGAGACAAGAAAACTTGGAAGCGGACCGCAGAGTTTGGGGAGTTTTGGGCTCAGCTGCATGTGACAGCTGCGCTATCACAAGCGTTCCTTACAGACGTGCATGTATTGAGCTGCAGCTTCGTTGCTTCATAACAGCTGTTTGGACCTTTAATGTTATAACTGCTTTTAAAAAAGCCACCATTTGAGTTTGTTGTGTAATGAAACAAGATGCTTTGACTGTGAAGAGTTTCAACAGTTTAAACTGAAGACAATGGCTTGGAAAGTCGGCAGGCTACAGTAACTGTGATAATTAAACATTCTGATGAATGATTGAACAATAGTATAGTATCTTCGGCATTAAAGAATAGGCCTGTCGCCGATTCTTGTACTTTTCTTGACTAGACTGGCCTTTTGATCAGATCTTTTCAACGGACGGTAGATTAAAAATCGCTATTAGATATCAGTTGTTCCGTAGGAGACGAGGCATTTTAAGACTAAACATATGCTCTTGCATGGCCTTGTCTAGTCTGTTCTTGAACGCGTTCATACTCGGAAGGGAAAGTAACAAGGACACTTGCATCATCCGTCGAGCTGAAATGCACCTCCGTGATCATTATAATGGCTTCCAACTATAAAAAATGTTTCCCTTATTAATGCCGATATTACTTTCAAAATCTCGACAAAATTAGAAAATATAAAAATATATTAATTAGCCTCTTGATGAGATGAGAGATGAAATGTTTCTTGTGGTAGCCAATACGACCAGGCAGCCAGAGATGCAGTGGAGGAGAGATGCTTGGTATCGTCAGCTCGGCTTTGAGCTCATCACTGTCTCGGGCTGCTGCTGTGTTGCTTTCATAGCTCGAGCTGCTGTGTTGCTTTCGTATAGCTCGGGCTGCTGTGTTACTTGTGTTGCTTTCATAGCTCGGGCTGCTGCTGTGTTGCTTTCATAGCTCAGGAGGCTGTTGTGTTACTCGTATTCCTGTTGTAGCTCGGGCTGCTGTGTTGCTTGTGTTGCTTTCGTAGCTCGGGCTGCTGCTGTGTTGCTTGTGTTGCTTTCGTAGCTCGCGCTGCTGTGTTACTTTGTTCTTTTCATATCTCGGGCTGTTGCTGTGTTGCTTGTGTTGCTTTCGAGGCTCGGGCTGTTGCTGTGTTGCTTGTGTTGCTTTCGATGTAATTGGGAGTCTTTCATAAATAAATGTTTATAAAATATCAATATGCTTATAGTAGACTTTTTGCTGGTTAACGCAATAGCTTTCGAACCTTGACTTTTACAACCTGAAACTTCCTCCAGCACGAAGCCGTTGCAAACGAAACCAAAATTTGTAGTCCCAAAAAAATTATTCGTGGCGAAATTAATAACATTCGCTTTTAATTCACCTCGAAACTGGTAAATGAATACAAACGCAATCATATATGGGCTGCGAAGGTTCATACAACAGAATTCATGGTTTTACGTATTTTTATTTCTTTCAGTACAATGATTCAATCCTTCAACTAGCGAAGGCCCAGTAATTTCGTAGTATGTATAGTGGCTTCGATAACGTGAGGTCTGCACACACCACACTGTTAGAAAAAACGGCGAGAAAGCGGTCCCACTGGCGTTCTAGTGGTCGGTCGCCCCGTGAAAATAAACTATTTCGCCGTTTTTATCAGATGTTTTACGGATTTCTAGTGTAAAATTAGAATAAAAACGGCGACACGGTGTTTCTTTTCACGTGCCGACCGGCCACTGAAACGCCGGTAATACCGTTAACGGTAATTTTTCTAACAGTGCACCATGAACTGCATTAGCAACTTGTTCCAGTCTTCTATAAGATATGACAAACGGAACAACGTAACCTGACACAATAAAATATGGAAATCCGAGATTTGTCAGCATAGAACAATGTTTGAGGTAACACCGAGTATCCCTATATAGCATTGATACTCTGTAACAAAGTATCTTAGCTAACGCAGGTAAGATTCTTTGTTACAGAGTATTAATGCTAAGGAGGTGGCAAAGGTAAGCAAGGTGGCTGTTGCATGTAATTTAATGTTCGAGGTTCGGTAGCTGCATAAAAATGATACAGGATGAAGCACGGGCTATACAAGTCGCGTTGTCTTCAGTCATGTGACCCTTCATTTTTAAACTTGTTTTTCAAATATATTACATGCAAATAACCTGTTAATAACCTATTTTTAAGACCTAACGGCACTTAATCCAGCTTCAAACACTTTTGTTCCATCAGTTTCCTTAAAGTTTGTCAACAGTTAACAGTTTTCAAAGTTAAAGTTTGTAAAGTTTTGTTCCTTAACAGTTTCCTTAAAGTTTGTCTCCAGAGTTCATTCATAATTAAGCGTTGCAATTTCTCAAGAAAGTCCATACTGCAGAAGCACACTTTTGTTAATATTACATTGATTTGATACACTTTCTGTCCGAATAGAGAATAAATCTGCTGAGACCGAGACGCGCACGGAAGAGCCTGACAATTACGTGGGTTGGGTGAGTGAGATTAGAGGGAGAAGAGGGAACGAGGGAGGATGCNCTAGACTTGATCGTTCAGATGTCTTTTACACTAGACTTGATCGTTCAGATGTCTTTTTACCCTAGACTTGATCGTTCAGAGGTCTGTTTTACCCTAGACTTGATCGTTCAGAGGTCTCTTTCACCCTAGACTTGATCGTTCAGAGGTCTCTTTCACCCTAGACTTGATCGTTCAGATGTCTTTTTACCCTAGACTTGATCGTTCAGAGGTCTGTTTTACCCTAGACTTGATCGTTCCGAGGTCTCTTTTACCCTAGACTTGATCGTTCAGAGGTCTCTTTCACCCTAGACTTGATCGTTATGAGGTCTGCTTTACCCTCGACTTGATCGTTCAGAGGTCTCTTTTACGCTAGACTTGATCGTTCTGAGGTCTGCTTTACCCTATATACTTGATCGTTCTGAGGTCTGTTTTACCCTAGACTTGATCGCACAGAGGTCTGTTTTGCCCTAGACTTGATCGTTCAGAGGTCTGTTTTGCCCTAGACTTGATCGTTCAGAGGTCTGTTTTGCCCTAGACTTGATCGTTCAGAGGTCTGTTTTGCCCTAAACTTGATCGTTCTGAGGTCTCTTTTATCCTAGACTTGATCGTTCTGAGGTCTCCTTCACCCTAGACTTGATCGTTCAGAGGTCTGTTTTACCCTAGATGGGAGAGGGAGATCATGTGAGGGAGGTACAAAAGGGGGGCCAGGGAGAGGGAGATCATGTGAGGGAGGTACAAAAGGGGGCCAGGGAGAGGGAGACCATGTGAGGGAGGCACAAAAGGGGGCCAGGGAGAGGGAGATCATGTGAGGGAGGCACAAAAGAGCCGCTGTGAGGCAGGTACAAGTGAGGGTAAGGTAGAGGGCAAGGCTCATCCTACTCACGAGGGGATTATAGCTTGTTAGCGACGCTCCAAGTCGCTGTATTTTCAAGGAAGGTGAAAGCAAACCTTGGTTTGGAGTTACGAGGTCAGAAGTAAGAGCTTGAACAGAGTAAAGACGTGGACCAACGTCAGCTGTAATGAAGAGAGGAACCTAGGCGATAATTGGCAAGACTAAGAAGGAATTATCGTGCTATTTAGACCAGAAATAGATGAGAAGCAGACAAAACGAAACCCCACAGCTCATAAGTTTAAAATATGTTTGCTGTACTTCCGAGTTACTACGAGGAATTCAGTTTTTAGGTATTAAATCTAACAAAAAAATACAAGTTCGGCGAATGCAGCTACACAATGTGAATTACATTGAGCTGCAAATAAAAGGATCGTAAGGAAGGGAAGACTATAGCAGCGAAGAGCAATGCCATCTTTTAAATATGAGCAAATGAGTGATATTAGCGTGCACGAATAGAATGAATTGATGTGCACGAGTTGAATGTTATCGACAGGCATCTTGCACAAGGTAATTCGATATCTTGTAGATTCGGTTTTGATCATTGAACTGATCACTTATCGCAAATTGATTGAAGTCAATTGCACTGTAAATGTCGAAGATATCAGAGTTTTATAAAGCCATTGCGCGAGTCGGTTTCATGGGTTGGTGAACATTAGCAATCAAGAGACGAAAATATAATGAGATTCCCTTAGAAACGATAGTTTATTTATGGTGAAATAAAATCTAAGGATCAAGACAAAAAAAAAAAAATGCTGGCCGATATTTTGGATAAAGAGGAAGGAATTTTTATTAGGTTTTAGGTACTGGCACTTAGCAGTCATTTTCATGTTTTTAATGAAAGCTCAGATCTCCTGTCTAATATATGATGGATATAAACAAGGAAGCTTAAGGCAAACGAATTATGTACCGCAATACCCCCAATGCTTGAAGTTTTTGTTTGATACGTGAAAGCAAAAAAAAATAATAATAATAAAAAAACGAGCGTAACTGCACGTAACTGCACTAAAGTTTGTACAGAATCTCTATTTTTTATTTGAAATATTTGCAGCTAACTCACGCGAGTCGTGAGTCCCTGAGCAGTGAGAGCTCTGCAGGGCAGCACAAGAGGCGCGATTATAGCAGCAGAGGACCGGCCATTGAGCCCAGGCTTGTTACCCGCAGAATGGCGGTGGCTCTTGAAGTGGCTACTCAATTGGCTGCACGCGCCCTCCAAAACCGCGGTCGTCGTGAACCCAAGTACCGAAACTCTTATTTGAAACTATCGACACTTATTTGAAAGTACCGAAACTCTTATTTGAAACTATCGACACTTATTTGAAAGTACCGAAATCTTATACACATCTAGATGTGTATAAGAGACAGGTAGGATACTGCTGCCGTCCACTGCTGTACACATCGCAGGATACATGGTGCAGTGTTCCGTAGGATACTACCACATCCCACAACACGTTAGATGTGTTGCAGCAACCCGCATCATGATAGTTAAGATTACTAATCAAACCAAAGGCTGAATTGAAATAGTTAAACAACGATAACGTGTACGCTATACGTAGCGTTGACGATGCAGTTAACTGATGTAGTACCTACCTTAGCACCGCCTTGGGGAGACTCTGGATGCATGATGGTGATGAGGGGAGGACCTGGGGAGGACGTGATGGAGGCCCCAGCTTTTCCTCCAGCCAAGATGATGGTGGAGTCACCGGTGGGGGAGGGACATGGCATTTTTGAAGCTTGCAGTCGCAGCTGAGAGAGAGATCGCGTGTTGTTGTTGCTGTTGTTTGCACTGCACGCACCGTTCATAACGCCTGCACACGGGAAGAAAAATACCTTGAATTACACGCAGAAAAATTAATGATCATACTGTCAATATAGCGACACAACCTTCTTACCCTCGCTACTAGCAGGGAGCGGACGTAGCACTGATACGGTCTTCTGCCTGGTTAAACAAGGACTTAATAGTCAACAAAAGGAAAAAAAGGGTATCGTTATTTAGACACCGACTCGTTTTCCTGAAACGGAAGAAAACTAAATGATTTTAGGCTAAAGTAACCAAAGTAAACCAACAGCTGCTATCAGAGAACGAAATCACGTCAATAGAAAGCAACTCACAAAGCGACTTGGGACTAGAAATTCGGTGAGAATAAATGATTGGCGAAGAAAAAAAGATCGCAGTTCTTTAGAAATAAGATGATTCACAAAACATTAAGCGCAAGGAAGTACTTTCACTCCTAACAGATACTGACTTACTTCATTCAAAAGCATTGCATTTGTAAATCATAAACAAATTTGAACAATGAGTGTTAAATTTTTACACCTCCTTATTGCATCAACACCGCACACAACAACGGAGCAAGATACACAAAACGGAATTAAGAAATATTAAACAATTTTTGTGCGCATCGACACGGCATAAATTCGGTCTTAGTGTCACCTGAAAGCACATGGCCTTTGAAGCAGCCGAGAAAAATCACACCAAAAAAAGTACGTCGCAGAAAGATCGAGCACGACTACAATAAGTCGCTGAAGAAAGAGACTCTCCTGCCGAGCAACGTCGGTGTGACTGTAAACAAGGTGTCTCCGAGCAGCAGTTGCGTATAGAGTGGCACAGCCCCCTTAGCAAGGTGTACATGAATGCGAGGTTCAGCTAACTGGAGGCAGTCACAAAAATCCCACACGCGCCATTTGTTACGAGGCAAAAGAAGCCATATAATTGGACCGGTTCCAGAAACCAGCACCTGCTCAAAACACGTCCGCGGCCCCGACTTTCCCAGAGACTCGATAGCCAAATAAAACCTGCCCCACACAACCTCTTCAATTCATTTTCTGCTTTCGATGTAAATGATTTGCTGCAAAAAATATTATGGGACAATGATATTTAAGTATATAGAAAATATCCATTAAGGAGCGCAACCAAATGAAATTTTAGGAGAAGGATTGTTCCGCATCGAATTTGCTTTTTTGCGTCTGAATTCAGATTTGGAATCGATATCGAGTCGTGCCATTCCAAAAGCGGAGGCAGGGTTCGTCTCATGAGAGTAGTATAATTTCAATCAATATTCAACACTGAGACTCGTGCCATTCAACTTATACACAAGTGAATTTCACTCGATTGAAATTCTTGCTCATGTTAATTAAGCTATATAAAAAAACAACCAAAGTGCCGCAAAAAATTATCGGGGAATAAAAACGAAACGATGGAACTGAACAATGAATGGGCACTCAAATTCTTACGATGTGCAGAAATACGATCACGTTCAATTACTCCGTCCAAAATGGTTCTCAAGTCACAGGAAAACCGCAAGAAGCCAGCATATCGCAGCAATGGAAGGCTTCACGTAACAGTTTAACTAGCCGCAAACTGATGCTAACTAATCGCAGTACGCAACTGTACGAACCTCCAGGATTGTTATGAAAGTCTCATGCATTACATCAACTGCAGCGAGTGTCTCTCAGGATTCATACGGTATCAAAGTAACTACGAGTATGTGAAATATTCAAGACAATATGGATCAGGCTACAAATTGTTGCATCCGGGCTTAAAACCTTGCAAAAAAATACTTGCATGCTTTTCAGTGTCCTAATGCCTTTTTTGCAGTAACTCTACATCAGGAGCTAAGTCGACTGGAAAAAGTCTTCGATTCGGTTTGGTTAGATTGAGTTCAAGTGTTAAACAAACCATGGAAGTGAGATGTGTCGTGCACCTTCAAATCGCGACCTTTTCTGTCCGACTACTCTATAGGTTAGTTTAGAAAATGGGAAAAAATTGAATGTTGCCGGCTTGACGTCGCGCTACAGTTCTTCTGTACAAAACTTCAGCTGAAAAACCCAACTAACATTTTTACAGGAAAATAATTCGTAAACAATAACACAAAATATCAGTATAATGAACATTTCTCAGCAAAGGTAAGCGCAACAGAAATTATTCTAATTGATAAATGAAAAGCAACTGAGCTACTATATTATAGTTATAGAAAAGCGTCGTCTCAGAGTTGAGATAATCATATGAAGTTCGCTGTAAGAGAAGCAGAAAAATAGTGCCTAATTTAATTTAATCGGTCGAAAAAGTATCACTATTGGACCGATTTATTTTCTTGCAAAAATAATAGTTCGGTTTTTCAGCTGAAGTTTTGTACAGAAGAGCTTTAGCGTGAAGCCATGCCGGCAACATTAAATTTTTTTTACTATTTTCTAAAATGGAATCGGTCCAAAAATAGTAGTCGCTCCAAAAAATATCACGATTAAGAGTCATGCTAGTCGACAATTCAGAGAAATCTACACGCAAAGCTTGTTCATCTCATTACTCGTAACGCAGCCAAGTATCTTGACTACACTTGAGTGGCCATTAAATACGTATTGAAAATTACAACAAAAATCAGCCAACGACTTCACTTCAAAGTTCAAGGCACGACTATTGAACCAAAGCTATCTGATTTTTCGCATGTGCATTGAATACTGCCCATGCAAGCGCGGAAAACCCAAAATGAGCCGAAACACATGCAAAGCGCACCTACATTATATTAAACAAAAATTCCCATAATTAAACATTTTTGAAACGTGGCAAAAATTAAATTCTACAAATAAAAGTGGCAGAGGTTCCAGGTTAGCTCAAGAACCTGCTTCCAACTCGAGGCACCAAACGTTAACATAAAAAGGAAACGTTAACCTGAAGTTATCTTCGATTTCGATCATAATAAATTCGGTTTGATCGCAATTTGCTGGCTTTGACGTTAAGCATGCTTGCTTATAGTTAAAAAAACTATCATCTACGTCATCAAAGAAACTCAATCAATAATCTAATTTGAAAATTCATTTTCACGCGTGCCCATCTTTCAAATTAATAACAAGTGTCTACCAGTTTTGTCTGCATGCAGGATACTAAGGTAATTTCAAGTGTCTAGTGTGGGCACTCGAAGTGTCCCCATCACTTCTTGTGGGGAAGTGTCTCCCCCACTCGCCTTATTAGCACCGCTAAGCCACTTAAATGTCCATGGAAAAAGCCCGCCCGTAAAGATGACTTTAAGACGCGACACTTCTGACACCGCCATTGAAGGCGGTCTAAAATGTTACGATAAATTCCTGTGGGTCTTCCTAAGAACATTCGTTAGAAGCATCAAAAAGAAGCTTTAATTGGCACGCACTCAGAAGCGAGCTTGTGTCACTTCAATGATACCTCCTTCATAATTAGATAATTAGAACGATTTAAAATGTCTATCTTCCTAAACTTCCAGTTCATTTTCGTGAATAATCTGAAGGCTGTTATTTTTATAAAGTTTTCATTGGGTCATATTTTTAATTTCAATCATATTTGTACAGAGAAAACTTCTCTCAGAAACAGTGTGTAGGATGGAAGACAGTTTGCATATGATAAAATTTCATTTAATTGTACCGCAAAAATGATATACCAGTGAAATCGAGTCGTAAGAACTTTAATTTCGTACATTGAATATCAATATTTTTTAATTCGATTTTTGCTCAATTCTAAAAAAGTAAATTGTANACGTCGTAAGAACTTTAATTTCGTACATTGAATATCAATCTTTTTTAATTTCGATTTTTGCTCAATTCTAAAAAAAGCAAATTGTAAGTAAGTATCCCAGAAACAGAAGAAAGAAACCGCGGCAAAGGAAATATAAGACCGTGATTTTTAGCTGATTATGAACGTTTAAAATTGCTAAAAAAAATACTAACTATAGTGCTTGCAATCATCGGAAACTAGTCTGTAAATTTAAAGTTGGATTTCAACGTAATGTCGAGCGAGGTACCGTCATAACTTTCAAGAAACTTTTTCACGTTTTTTCTTGAAAAGTTAATGATGTAAAATATCTAATGAACAACGTAAAACAATTTAATATAAGACATAGACACCATTGAACACACATTTTATTTATTTATTTGTGAAATTTTCAATAGCTTCAGACAATTAAATCTTGATGTCAAAATCCATCCACTGCCAAGCGTTTTTGGAATATGTGTAAACGATTCTGAAATTTAACGGAGCTTTCCTATACGCGACGAAAATCCACATGCAAATTCAATTTTCAGCCCAAACAATATGCAGCTCTTTGTATATTGATACAAAACTTCTAAACTATACAATATGACTATTAATTTAAATAAGGTACAAGCCAATGACAGATCCAAGCCAACATCGCAGAGTGCCAGTAACAGAAGACAGCAGCAGCATCAAGCCAGCATCGCAGAGTGCCAGCGTCAGAGCTGCGTCACTGCATGTCACTGCGTGCCAGCATCGCAGAGTGCCAGCGTCAGAGCTGCATCACTGCATGCCAGCANCAGACGGCAGCTCGGGGGGCGCGTGCCAGCCGCTGCTATTGGCCGGCACAGGAGGGGGCGGCGCGCCAGGTTTGGGCCACTAAAGGCCACACGTAACGTCCGTCGCCACCCAAACTACCCAACTTCTGCGCCATTTTGTGGCGTGCCGGGCTAACTTATGGCTCCACTGCCAAAATGTCGAAAATCGGCGTCAACGTTTTGTGGTCAGATTAAAAGGGAGTTCCATTTCCAGCGAAAAACGGCTCAGATTGGTACCAGACAGCAGCTTCGTAGCAGCGACAAAACCAAAGAGTGGCCGAAATAACAGGACACATGCCACCGAATTAATTCACATGTATCCTGTTCGAAAAAAAAAATCGAGTCAGTTTTGTTGCCGCAATTGTCGACCATTTCCCCCCATAAATTCTTATACCTTTAGAATAGCGCACAGTCTTAGGAATAAAATAATTAAAAATTTCTAGCCTAAAACAAGGCTATTGCAATACTAAAATGATATGTATATAATATCCTGAAC